ATGGGGGGATTTGTTTCCAGGAGGCTTTCAAGACAGTTTTGATCTGTTAGCAAATTCTCACAGCCATTTTGGGAGGCAGGTGATATTATCCTCACCTGTCAGCAGATGGAGGCGCAGAGAATGACTGCCCAGGGCCACACAGCCAGCAGAGGCTCAAATCTAATGAGAGGAGATTCCCCTGACCCTCCACTCCCGCCACTCCCCCCGAAACTGCTCAGAAGCTGATCGTCCTGCTGTTTACAAGCTTCCGAGCTCCCATTACTTGAGCAACCTCTTGGCTTTTTTCTCCCCATTTCACAGTTTTCGGGTAAGGCAGAGTGGAGGGGGTGGAGAGGCACGCAAAAGGCCTTGCTTTCTGGCTGCTAGACGTCTGTGGCCAGCTGGGGTGTGTTGGTTGTGTCCCGGCTGTTTGTATGTGGAGGTGGAACTGACCCCTGCCGCCAGGGCCAAGGAGGCTCAGGGGCTGGAGGAATGTTGAGCTTAGGGCTCAGGCCTGCTTCCAGCATCCACCACAAGTCACGGGGCATGGAGTATTACTCACGTAAAGCAGGGACTACGTACCTGAGCCAAGAGGAGAGCTTGCGGCTGTCAGCGAATGGCCTTGTTGAGGGAGCCCAGCCTCTTCTAGCTCAACAGGGCTGCAGCATCTTTAAGACAGAGGCTGCTTTTCTACACCCTCCTGGGGCCCCGCCCTGCCAGCCTGCTTCATGCTTCACGCTTCACGTAGTTGGGCCCAGGTGTCCTGCCTTGATGACAGGATTTCCAGACTTGATGGGAAGAAAGGGCGTGAATTTGCTTCTCTAATTCCAACCACCTGTCTCTGCCTCTCCTGGGCTATGCTGCTAGTTTGCACTCGATTTGTTCACTGTTTTTATACCAGTCATCGGATGGCAGGGCCAGAAAGGACCTTAGAGATCCTCTGATACAGGGCTGGCAAGCTTTTTCCTTCCTCATCACAACCGACCCACCTGCTGATTGTGGTACTGATGCCATGAGACCCTTTCAAGAGTAGACCCAGATTTTTGGAGTCTGTACCAAAAATGGTAGAGACAAGGCAGAGGTTGAGTAGGGGCAAAGGCAGTATCCCGCCTGCTAGCAGTAATCCATCCCCTCCTCTTCCACTGAGAGGGAAGCTGTCCAGCCATCGTGGAGAATAGCTGGTCCCGTTCAAGGTTCTCACTTTATAAATGAGAAAACTTAGACCCAGAGAAGAGCAAGGGTTAGCCAAGACCACACAGGAACTTAGTGGCAGAGCTGGACGTGGAATCCAGGTCCCCTAACACGCAGTCCATTGTACACCATCCGGACAAGTTCTGGAGCAGCAGTTAGGCAAAGAAGAGGCATCATGGTCATCGTCACAATTACTCACCTACCAGGAACACCTGCTGGGCACTGGGGCTTCACCGTGACCAATAGCAAATCCTCACGGCAGGCCTCGCCCGGGTCCTGGCCCCAGTCCTGGCCCTGGTCCTACTTCCCTATTTTACACCAACAGCCTCAGCTTTCCAGTCCTCCAGATTTGGAACCTCTGAATCACCACTCTCCATACTGCTGCTTCCTCCTTTCGGTTCGGTTCTTCCTCACAATGCTCTAGTTCAGGCTCCCATCATCACCTGCCTGCGTCATTGCAACAGCCCCCCAGGCAGTCTCCACCAGCCCATCCAAGAACACAACCACCAGCATCACGGTCGTCTCCCTCAGAACCTGCCTGCTGAACGTTGATTAATTGATGTGTAGCCCAGAAGTATAATGGCCGTAGTGAGTAATTCTCCAAGTTTCCATAGCACTCACCAGCTTATTAAGTGCTTTCAAAATTATTATCTTATACGAGCAATTAGGAGACCTCAGTGCTAGTCCAGCTCTAATTCTTGGAGTGGTCTTGCGCGAGTCAAGACCGTTTGGGCAAGTCAGTTTCACCTCTCCCTGTTATCCTGAAAACTGGCGTCCAAGTTCCCTTCCCGCTCTGACCGCTCCCTGGCTTCTGCTCCAGACGGACTGCCACACTGGAGCGAGCGGCACCATCTACGAGTACGGAGCCCTCACCATCGATGGGGAGGAGTACATCCCCTTTAAGAAGTACGCTGGCAAATACATCCTCTTTGTCAACGTGGCCAGCTACTGAGGCCTGACAAGCCAGTACATTGGTAAGAGCCCATCCCTCCTCCCCTGCTTTATTTGGGGCTGCTTCTGCCAGTTGGGTACATTCCAATCACAGGAGCTTTTCTGGTGCAAGGCGGAAGGGGTAAGGTGATCATGAGATTCCAAACCCTGTATCCCAGTTCCGCTGTGTTCCACGGTTCTGTGAAAATGATTATATAAGCCTGAAGTCTGATCGCCTTCAAACGTGTACTAGAAGATTCTCAGTTACCCTTCATCCCTGGGCACCTCAACAGCCCTAAAAGCAGAGGGATGGGGGAGACTGGGTTTGTGCCTTAAGCGTCCTTTCACTGGAGTAAGAAATAATAGCGTTAGCTTGCTGAGAATTTCTCACCTGCCCTCGGCCCCATCTGCCTTAGTGCTTCTCTTGGACCCTGGAAAGCAGGCCTAGATAGAAACCAAAAACCAAGGGTCCAAAGCACTCCCTTCATTTTGTTTTCTCTTCTCCCCCTGCCTCCCGCCCCAGCAGGGGCCTGAGAGTATGTGTGTTCGTGGCAGAACCGGGCATTTCCCCCAGGTTTCACGATCCCTAGTATCCTCACTCCTTTCTCCCTAGCTGGGGCAGAGTTAAAAGCCTGAGGGAATAGCCAAGCCAAAGGCACCTGACAGCACCCACAAGAAAGTGCTTTGGGGCTGAGCACAGTCTGCTAGTGGGGGTGGGGGGCAGGCAAAGGCAGTCTGACCCAGAATGTTGAGAATCGCAGGCAAAGTGATCTGGGGAGCTGGGCACGACCTCCCTGGGATTCCTGAATTCTGAGTAGAGGAGGGTTGTGAGGGCCCACTCCACCCCACCCTGGGGAAGTTGTCTGGTTCCTGCTCCAGGAAACTCAATCCTGAGAGGCCTGAAGGAGCCCTCAGCCTGCGGGCCCACGGGGTGGACCTTGGCCGTGGGTGGGCGACTGACTACTGACGAGGAAGCGTATTGCTGTTTACCCCCAACCTCCAGCCCAGCCACGTTGGAACCGGGAGGTTGGGACTTGAGTCCCAGCATTGCCACACTCACTGGGGGATCTTGGGCAAGTCTCTTCCCGTCAGGCCTCAGTGATGTCATCTGTACAGTGGGTGAACAGGTGGAGTGGTACACGGCAGGCAGGGCTCCGTGCCAGGCTACCCCCTCATCTCTGCTCTCTCCCTCCCTGGCCCAGAACTGAATGCACTACAGGAAGAGCTGGGGCCATTTGGTCTGGTCATTCTGGGCTTCCCCTGCAACCAATTCGGAAAACAGGAACCAGGAGAGAACTCGGAGATCCTACCCAGTCTCAAGTGAGTGCTCGCTCGGTGTCTGGAGAAGGCTCCGCTAGCACATCCCACCCTGCCCCCCAGCCCAGGCTCTGGGCATCTCTTGCACTGACCCCTACTCATGATGGACACCACCAAGAACTACTGTCCCCTTCCAGGAACCCCGATTAGTGGAATGAGTGGAAGAGGGACAGGAGAGGGACAGGGACAGGGATGACTGGTTGTGACTGCATGACCAGGGTCAGGGAGGACAGTGCGGGCCAGGGGTGACTGAGACAGTACCAAACTGGAAAAAGACTGCAGACCCACATTATGCCTCTGCCCACTCAATATTCATCAGCTCCCACTGCCCACTATAGAGCAAAATTCACAGATTCCCAACACCCCCCACCCTGTTCTAGCCCTTCCTCTCGTTTCTGAGCCCTGTGCCCATCTTCCTGGGACCCACATAAGAACATTCCTTGTAGGTATGTCCGACCAGGTGGGGGTTTCGTTCCGAACTTCCAACTCTTTGAGAAAGGGGATGTGAACGGGGAGAAAGAGCAGAAGTTCTACACATTCCTGAAGGTGAGTTCACAGCCAGCTCTGTAGGAGCCTCTCTGCCCGGCGGATGCTGGCTCTGGACGGGGCTGCAGCTGTTCCTGGCTCCAGCCCATGTAGGCAAGGGCCGTGCCAACCTCCTCTGCTCCTGGGCTCCTGGGGAATTTCTTGGCATCTGATTGTTATTCCAGCTAGAAAGCTTTGCAGATCTTAGGGTCTCACCAGCCCGTTTTACAGGTGGGCCCCAAAAGGGACAAGCTTAGGGTCTCACAATCTGCTAGAGCCAGGGCTGGGATTCAGTTTTCTAACTCTGAAACTGGTGTTCTTTCCCAGTGCCAGGCTGTTCCCCTACCCACAAAAAGGCCTAGGGAGGCAGTGGGAGGGGCCCCAAGCAGGGCTAAGGTTACTCTCATGCCCGCTCCAGAACTCCTGTCCTCCTACCTCGGAGCTCCTGGGCTCACCTGGCCGCCTCTTCTGGGAACCCATGAAGGTCCACGACATCCGCTGGAACTTTGAGAAGTTCCTGGTGGGGCCAGACGGTATACCCATCATGCGCTGGTACCACCGGACCACGGTCAACACTGTCAAGATGGACATCCTGGCCTACATGCGGCGGCGGGCGTTCCTGGAGGCCAAGGGGAAGTAACTGAGGCCCACCCCAACCTATGTCCACCGTGCAGGGGCTGGGGAGGACCCTGTGCAGGAAGGAATCCACTTCTCCAACCACACCACACTCCCACTCTAGACCCTGTTACACAAAGCCCCAGCCTGACACGAACGTGCGCATACGATTGTGTCTGTACTGCTGTGCACGTGGGTGTCTGCATTCTATGCCTATGGGTGTGTGTGACCATGTGTGCACACATGTGAGTGTACAGCCATATGTGTTGACCTGCACGAATATCCAGGAATGTGTACTGTCTGTGTGCCCACAGCTGTATGCCGTGGAGAGTACCAGAGAATAACTCCCTTTTCTCTCCGGCTCTCTGTTCCAATGATACCAATTCACTTTCAGCTGAGCCCAAAGGAAAAAACCAGCTCTAGATTCAATTGTTCTGCTCCTACCTAAACGTCAACCCTTGGCGCCAGCATCCCCCACTGCCTCTAAACACCAACACTGAAGTGCCTGGAAGCTTCTGGGTCTGCCACACTGCCCAACCTCCCTCCTCTCCTTCCTGAGGGCCCTCCCAAGCCCCCTACCCACCCCACAGTGTTCCCTGAGAGTGGCCAAGGCAGCTGTGAGAGCGAGGACCACGTTCGCCAGGTCAGAGGCGGCATCTGAATGAAGGAGGGGCCCGAAGCCCTAGTGGGCGGGCCTCCCTTGAGCCTGTCTGAAGGGCCAGCCCTTAGTGCATTCAGGCTGAAGCCCCCGGGCAGGGATGCCACCCCCGCTCCTTCGGAGGACGTGCCCTCTCCCCTCACCCTGACCCACTGGTGTTAGACTCATCCCTGTGTGCCTAGTAAAGGCCTTTCTGCAGCAGCTCAGCCTCCTGTGGTGCTTCCTCAAGCGGCTGCGCCAGTGAGGGCGGGAGGCAGGGAGGAGAAGAGAAAACAAAATGAAGGCAGTGCTTTGGACCCTTGCTTTTTGGTTTCTACCTAGGCCTGCTCTGCTTCCTCGGTCAGCATTTGGAGTTTATAAGATCAGTCCACGTCTCCTCTCATCCCACCATTCTCTAAGGCAGCTAGGGCTGAGATGTGGTGGTTTCGTTTGACAGATGAGGAAACTGAGGCTCAGAGAAGGGCCAGGCCTTGTCCAAGGTCTCCTGACAAGTGAGGGGAAGGACCGAATATAAATCCAGGTTGCCTGACTCCCAGGCCCTGGACGCCCAGCGCTCATGGCGGCTCTGAGCAGGGCCCCAGGAGACATCTGCCAAGAGTAATGGTGATGCTCTCAGGGGGTCTGGGAGGAACAGAGCACTGAGGGAGGCAACAGGAAAGCCACACTGGTTGACTGGGAGGGGAACATTAGCCAGGGCATCAAAGAACACCAGTCACAAAATGTTGATCTTCAACTTGGATTTATGTCCAAGATTCGTGCAAACAGTTGCCCAGGGATCAAGAGCCACCCCAATCCAGGCCTCTGGGACCACAGGCCTCCAGCTACAGGCCGAGGGCCTGGCAGCTTCAGGCTGGGGTTGTTGGCAGATGTGGCTGGGATGACCTTCATCCCGGGCTGCAGTGGCACTGGTGAGGCTGCCATGGGCGGGGGCCCAGCAGCAGGATGACTCGTGGTTTTCTTCTGCTCCTGGAGGCAAACCTGCTCTTCCCGCAGCCCCTCGGAGTAGAGAGGGTATGCATGGGGCAGGTCCTGCTACAGCAGAGCTTGAAGCAAAAATAAAACACATGAATTGAATGTGGTCCCCAGAGGGGCTGCTGAAACACTTCTGGGGAAGTTTTGAAACGAAGGGGTCTTGATTGCACCCCACTAAAGACTGACATCCCCCGGCAGCTCCTGCAGAGGATGGCAGGCCAAGGCCACATGACGCTTCTCTCCACTCAGTGGCAGAGTAGTGAGTTTTTCCCGATCACTCCAAAGGAGAGGCCCGGACGGATGCCTTCTGGATGGAGCCTCCCCAGTCTGGAAACAGTTCGGGTTGGGGCCAGAGCACAAGTTGGCCATCCATCTCAGCCTCCTGGAGGCTCTGGCCACACAGAGCACGTGGCCTCTAGTTTTTCGGTAGTCTGAAGTCAGCTGGCTCTGTAAGACGAAGGTGGAGCCAAGTGACGTAATCTGGTCTCACTGAGGCCCCTCGCGGTCATTTTTGGTAGACTCTAAATAAACAAAAATTTTGAGGACTTAAAGATGATGTGGTGCAGTAGGTTTCAAAGTCCTGTGGAAACCAACAGAGTAAGAGTGGAGAAAAACAGGGTTGTTGGGTGTGTGCCAGGCCCTGGGCGAAGTGCCATAGGTACGTTTGCCATTCAATCCTTGCCCTGGCCCCAGGAAGCAGGCGGACTGTCATCTCTTTATGGGGGAGGGAACAGGGACACAGAGAGTTTTAAAGAACTTGCCTGAAGCCCCAGGTCTAGGAAGTGCTGGAGCCTAGTCAGTCGGTTCTGGACCCCGAAGCGGAGTAGTTCTAGGGAGGGGACAGCCCTGCCCATCTGGCCACCCTGTGTCCTCATCAAAGCAGCCTCCGAGGGGCGCCACAGAACCTCCAGGACTTTGCGAGGAACCATTAGAAAAATGACTGATCAACCCAACACAGCCTTCCAACCACTGGCTCCTCCAAACCACGCTCCCTCCAAGTCGCCCTGCAGCCTCTGCTCACACCCCTCCTGCGGCAGGCGCTCCACCTCCTGGCAGAGCTGGCTCCATTTCTGCACAGCTTTCAAAACTCCTCTTTCTGCTGAGATGGACTTGGCCTCCCTATCGCCTAGCCGCTAGACGCAATCCTGTTCCCAGAAGCCCCACAGGCCAGGCAGTGCCTTCTGCCCCACAAGAGCCTCGCAGAAAGTGAACAGAGCGACTAAGGGCCCGGGGTCCTTTCATGACTAGCGAACAGACCTCCAGTCCCCAACTGTTTATGGCGGATACCATGACCAAAGGGAGCTTTTTAAAATGCAAATTTAACCTGTCATGCCACTCTGATTTTAAAATACCCAAGGCCTGCACATCCTCTTTAGGATAACGACCAGCCTTCTGTCGTGGCCTGCAAGGCCCTCACGGCCGGGACCCGCCGACCTCCCTGACCTCCTCGCCTTGCCCCTATCTCCTCCCCGACCTTGTTCCCGGCTCCAGCCACACCAACCTTCTCTCCAGCCTCAAGTCGGCCACACTTCCTCACTCCCTCCCACTGAAGCCTTTGCATTTGTCCTTTCTCTGCAAGAACATCCTCTGCTTCTCCTTCACTCATTAATGCTGCTCATTCCGAGGGTCTCAACACAAACGCCAGTGCCTCCAGGCTGGGCCGGGTTCCCCTGCTGTCTGCTCTCACAGAAATCTGCTCTTCCTCCCCCAGGGTGCTTGAGTGCAATTGTACGCCCACTGGTGTGACCTTTACTGTTCATCTCTGTGCTCCTCAGTAGACAGTAAGGTCATAAGGGTGGGGACCGTATCTGCTTCTGCTCTGTCCTGGCCAGCACAGTGCCTGGCAGGTGGACGGTAAACTATAATGAATGAAGGAATGGTTTCAATCCCCTCGCCCTGCAGTCACCATCCCCTTCTGAGAAGACTGCTTCAGAAAGCTGGGCCTATCTTCCAACCAGATCAGGAGGTAGCAACAGCGTCCCCAAACCGGGGCGACCCTGGCAGCTAAGAATGATCTTCCCCGGTGGAAGACAAGACCCAGGGCCAGGGGATCCGGCTCACCTGGCTCTGCAGGCCTGGCTGCGGGCGAGTCCATCACTTGGGAACTCTGATTCCGTATCCCTCCACAGGGCAGCCGCCAGGTGTATTCTGGCTGCAACAAAACCGGCGCTTAGTAATCAAAAACCATACTGGAAAAGTATGGTAGCAGCCACTGTGCAGGAAGAGTGCTAAGCCCACATTAATCAAGTATCACTGAGTCCTTACAACAACCCAGGTTGCCATCCCCACTTTACAGGAAAGGAAGCTGAGGCTCAGAGGGGTTGAGTAACTTGAAGAAGTTTGTCCAGCTAGGCAAGTAGACAAGCTCTGATTTGAGTCCAGGTCTTCATAACCCCAGAGCAGATCGCTTAAGTTCCACACGATACTCCAGTGTTTAAAGAAGATGCGTGGAAGGAATGGCTGTGGGTGAGAAGCTGGGGGAGAGGCCGGACTGGAGGCAGTGGTTGTTGTCCGGGTAAGAGTGGGAAAGCCTGAAGGGGCTGTGGCAGAGGCACCAGAGAGGATGGGATGTGTGACAGCAGCTCGCTGGGGACAGAAATGATAAGCAAGGGGGAAAAAAGCAAAAAAAAAAAGAAGAAAAGAGGAAAGGAAAGGAAACTGAGAAGGGAAAAGAGAAGGAGAAGCAAAGGGAGAGAATGGCTGGTGGGGGCCTGGCACCTGGTCACAGGTGGAGGTCACGTGCTCTGGTGCCCTGGGCCTGGCTGGCTGGAGGGAGCCCTCCTTCCTGCCCCGCTCCCTTCCTCGGCCTCTTCTGTCCCACACCAGTGACCCAGAGCAGCCCGGGGCTGGAAGTCCTGCCCCTGCACAGCAGGCCGCACCCCACAGTGCTGTTCAGATGGGCCGGGCCAAGGATGCGCTTTCTGACCCGGCACTTGCCCTTGCCCTTGCCCTCTGGAGTGTGTCCGGGTGGTCTGTGCGTGTCCTGCAGGGAGGGAGGGGCACAGACTCACCAGATGGAAGAGGCGTGAGTTGGGATGTGGGGGCGGGTGCTCCATAGCCGTGGGGGGAGGAGGGTAGCGGATCTGGGACCAGTCCTCAAAGCCGTGGTGCGGCATCATGGGGGGCATGGGCGGGTAGGCATAGGGGTAGGCCCCGCAGAGGTGCTCTGGGTGGGGCTCCACGTGGTAGCGGTCTGCTGAGGTCTGCAAGAAAGACTGACATCTGGTTCTGGGCTGTGACAGGCTGCACAAGCCATCCCCAGTGACACCCATCCGACCTCCCCACCTCTACTTAGAATCTCAGTTCTCTGAAGACTGGCACGTGGGCATAGAAGGCTGGCACATGGCACAGAGCATCAACCATGATGACAGTTAATGCGTCCCGAGCACTTACTCTATACCAAGCACTGTTCTAAAAGCTCTGCCTGCATTACCTCGTTAGTGAGCTGGACACCTGTGCAAACAACACCTCTCCCATCAGACTGTAGCTTCCAGGAGAAGGTAAGACAAGCTAAATGCTGCTTCCTCCCTCAAGCCTCCTCACCTTTGCTTTCCTCTTCTGCTGTCTGAGGGCTTCTTTCGCCTTTTCTTCATCTTTGAAGGCTTTTAGCTGAGAGAAGGCGGGAAGGGGAGAAGACTGTTGGCACAGGCACTTCCTAGCCAGGCCTGGATCCAGGCCTAACCAGCCCCAGGGTTGACCGGCCAATGCACGAGGCCTCCAATCTGGGCTGTCCTGCCTGGCCCAGCCCCGGGAAAGGGCCCGGTGGGGGGGCGGAGTGCAGCCCGCAGGTAAGGCCTGCTCCTTGTACGTGTAGTCTGAACACAGGTCAGGAGGGCTTCCATATTAATACCTTTTGGTTCCAATCTGGGGGAGAGTGGGTGGCTCGGAGTTAATTTCTAAATTTGCCCTTTTAAGGCATCAAAACTGATGATGGAAAATCAGAGCTAGAGGTCAGAGAAAGGAAGAGCCTCTCTGAGGGACAGAGAAATGTGGCAGCAGAGCTGGAAGGAGAATGAGTGAGTGTCCTGACATCCAGTCTCACCAGGGACCTTCCAACCCAGGGCCCCCGCCCCACGAGGACAGCCAGCTGCCCCTTCTGTGATCCAGCTGCTCTCACCTGGGCGTTCGACAGGGTGACCTGGGCCTGCAACTTCTCCACCTGCTTCTTCAGCTCTTCCTTCTCCTCGTTCATGCGCTCCCGGTCGCTGCGCTCCCTCTGGAAGTCCTCCTCAAAGATCTTCACCTGAAGGGGCGGGGAGGAGGGGTGGGGAGGAGGAGCAGCTCTGGGTGAAGGCCCGGAGCCCCAAGCCTCCTGATGGGAGTCAGACATGAGAGCTGGCTTCACCCCATCTCAAAAATCCCTGTGGGGAGGGGAACAGGCGCACCTCCAGCCCCCCACTCTCAACTTAAGACAGTAGTTCTGGGTGCCTCTGTTTTATGTTCTGGGCTTCAACACGGGGCTCTATTGGAAAAAAGGATCCATGGCTTAAAAAAAAAAAAGGTTGATAGCCATCAACCAGTCCAATCCTCTCACTCTGCTGAGGCCCACAGTGAGGTGGAGGCCACAGAAACAGGTATGAGCGGAGGACTGGTATCCTGGCTCCGAGAGCAGGGGACCCACACACCTGTCACAAGGCTTGAGGGGTGCCCTGGCGCGGGGCCCCGTCTCCGCTTCTGCAGTTTCACTTCTTACTGCAGATCAGGGAGATGCTAACCAGGTTCGAGATGATTTAAAAGGACCCAAAGCATGGCACCAAATAGCACAGAAACACATGAGGGAGCCAAGACCTCTTCCATTTCCTTTCAATCCTCAGTGTCCCTCCAAGGACAAAGCTGCTATGTCTTTGACAGCTTTCTAGTACTTGTTAATTTCCCTTAAATAAAGGGAAAGAAGACTCAAGTTCAGAGTTTTCATCAGGCAAGAGTATCCAGTTAGAGTTTAATAGCACTATTCTGTCTTTACTGCATTTACTGCTTGTAGTTACTTTTTTTTTAATGGAGGTACCGGGGATTGAACCCAGGACCTTGAGCTTGCCAAGCATGAGCTCTACTCTACCACTGTGCTATTACCCTCCCCCGAGTTACTATTTATGACAGATAATAAACAGGTTTTTCCATTTATAGAAGAAATCTGAAGTTCCCTTTCAAATGTATTTATTAAATTTATTTTAAAAATTGTTTTTAAAATACTAGGTAAATAACAGCACAGCTGGAACACAGAGATGGTTAAATCATGAAGGTGGTAGGGAAATGATCTAAATGATGAGAAGGGTAAACCTATAACCAGACAGGGGTCCTGGCCGATGGCCAGAAAGTGGACTACAGATTACAGCTTCCACGTGATTCAAGGCCCATCCTGGGCCCTCAGGAATGCTCCAGCTCCACTGAGCAACACCTCCTGTCTGCCCTCTTCCCCAAGCCTCACCTGCTGTTTCAGCAATTCGTTCTGTGTGACCAGCTCCTGCTTCCTCAGCAGGCCTCCAGCTCCTTCCGGGCTCCCAAATGCTGTTGGTGGAGATGTTGGGGAAGCCTGGATGCTCAGTGCTTCCTCCAGGGCCTGGGATCAGGAAGAGAGGAGATGGACTCATCACCAGAAGCCCCCAGAAGTCAGGCCCCATTGGCAGGGTCATCCTCTGGGCCCCCTTCCTCATAACAACAATAACCACCACTATTTAATAAGTGCTACCTTGTTTGTACACACACCTCATTACATTGAATTCTCTCCATCCATAGTCCTCTAAAGAAAAGATTGTGACCATCGTCCCCATTTTATGGATGTGATAAGTGAGGTTCAGAGACTTCAAGTGATTTGTTCAAAGTCATATAGCAGTAAGTGGCAAAGCATGGATTCAAAGCCAGCATGTGCTCTCAACCAGCAGCCTGAACTGGGGTCTTCATGTGGAAAGGAGAGTGTCCCCCTCTCTGAAAAGGTGTGCCTCAATTCTCAGCATCCAGACCTAGAAAGAATACTAAGTCCTTTGGGGGCAGAAGCTTCAGTCTCCTTGACAACTGCCTGCCCTGAGATTCTTCAGCTTCTGCAACCCATTCCCATCAAGCCAACCCCTCCATCTCCACCTCTTCTGTGGTTAGATTAGAATGGATTTTAATTTTGACTTAATATTTTACCTTTCCAACCCTGAAAATGGCCTGAAACATCACTAAATAACATTTTGAAAATTTAAAAAGCACCCCTATGTTACCATGTTCACAAAATACTTTTCCTTACGTAAACAGTGTGCTCACGTCCTCTTAAAAGTTTTCCATTAACTGGGTTTCTCCTTCAACCCTGTTAACATGGTGCTTGAGAACTCTGGAACACCTCCACAGACCAGCCACCCTCATCATCACCTGGACTTTACTCCCTGGACAGGGGGCTCTGCTGGCCACACGTCAGTGTTGCTCACAGTGCCTCCCTGGACCGTGGGGGAGATAAAGGAAATCCTCCCCAACTTGGACATGGGCCCCACTTGGTCCCTCAACGTCCCCAGAAACACGAGGAAACTGCTGAGCCAAGAGTAAATTCAGGATGCTGTGAGGGGAGGCGATGACTCCATGTTATCCTCCTCCTCCTCCATCTGCCCTGTTTTTTAGATGAGAAGACTGAGGTCCAAGGACAGGGGGAGCCTTGCATTAATCATCCCCACCGGCGTCTGCCCCAGATAAGCCACAGAAACCTGGAGGGCAGCAAACCTGCCTGGGGCATCTCTACAACCAGCACCACGTACAATACTCTGCCTGGATTTACACCCCTAAATCCCCCAGCCTGGGTCAGGTCACTCTTTTCTCTTGAAAACAGGTCCCAAGGCCCCAGACTTAGCATCACCAATGCTTATCAAACACCAAGACCAAACAGAGAGGGTTACACCAGCAGGGCTAGGGACCAGTGAATGCAAATGAGGAGGCAGAGGGGAAAGGTAAGACACACAGGAAGGGAGGAAAAGCTGAACATTGACTCAAAGGAGGAAAAGCTGAGCCTTTGGAGAATGTTTCCTTTTAAAGCCCCTCCTGTCAGCTCGCTTCTTTAACCCCTGCAATGGAAGGTGGGCAGGACTAGCCTGATCCCAACTAGGGTTCAGATGGCAAAACTGAGGCCCAGAGAGGTTTGAGGGGCTATAAGCTGGGACCAGAACCAGCCCCAGCCTGGCCCGGCCTTTCCGCCCTTTGCCTTGGCTCAGAGAAGAGGGTTTCTGCTTTACCGGGGCCCCCCCACACCCACCCAGGCCCTGTCTTCCTGGGTCCCCCTTCTCAAGGGCAGGAACCCCAGCCTGTGCTCATCCATCCCCTTCAGCAAGCTTCTCCTGAGCACATGCCGGGGCGGTGCCCTGGTGAAGACGCACACCTCCCAGTGCTGGACGGGCAGACAGACCATCAAGATACCATCACAAGGAAGTGCTGGAAGGGGTGTGAAAGGAGCTGCTGGTGCTTTAGGCACATGGAACAGGGAGGCAGGGGGACCCAAAGGAGACTCAGTGGGGAGGGAGGCCTCACAGGGGAAGCAGCACTAAAGTGAAACCTGAACAATGAGCAGGCGGCACGTTGGGGGTGAATAGCACATCCAAGGCCTGCAGGGGAGCGAGCACCGGCTCAGCATGCGGGAGTGGGAAGACAGATGGTGAGGACCACGGGGCTGCAACGAGGCTCTCAGCGCCCGCGCCCTGACCCAGGAATCAGCCCTCCTGAGCTGAGGGTCCGGGGACACTGCCATAGGGCGGGCATTGCAGCAGGGCTTGGGGAAGCCTGGCCTCCTCACGGAGCAGGGCCGAGATGCCCACCCTGTTGAGCCGCTGGATCTCCTTCTCCTGGTACTCCCGCTGCCGGGTGAGCGGGCTCAGCTGATCCTGCAGGTACTTGACCTTCTGGCGCAGCTCCTTGGCCTCTGCTGTCAGCTGCTCCTTGTCGGTCTGCAGGGAACACAGGGCTGGTAAGCAGCGGGCCTGGGCTCCTGACTGCCTGCCCCACCCCACACGCAGCCATGCCTCTCCTCGCTCTCACCCCGCAGTCCCCAAGATTTCATGCACAAGGCTCTGGTGAGAGCGGTAATGTCCGCATAGTTCTGTCTTCAAGGAAGAGGCTGCTCAGCTGAGTGAAAGGCCCTGGGTTCCGCCACTGGCTCCTCTCACAGCGAGTTGAGCCCTCAGGCACTGTTACAGCCCTTTCTCGCCTAAGCTCACCTATCTGCCATGGACAAGGGGCTCATAACATGAGTCATGGATGGGCTTCGGGAGGTCCGTGAGCTACCAAACTAAGAGCAAAATTTTGTGCAACTTTCTAGAGAAAAAAGCCATACTTTCCACCAGATTAACACAGGGGTCTTCTATGATGCACAGAAAGTGATAAACTGAAGGTCTCCAAAGGTCCTTTCAGCTCTTATGGTCTCTGAGCCCAGAGGAGAAAAGGCCCTCAAAGAAATAAACACAGCATAAGGCAAAAAGGGTTCCTCCACAGAGAAGCAAAGTACCGTGAGGTTACAGAGAGAACACTAAGCTGAAAAGAAACCAGGGCAGGCTTCAAGGTGGAAGTGTTGGCTCCATACCTACTATGGAACAATCAAAGTGCTTCACTGCAAAGAGCCACAGCTGGAATGGCCCTTAGAGGGCATCAAGTCCTAGCCCTTTTCTACAACAGGAAATGAGAGGGGCAGTGACTTACTCAAGCTACACAGTAGCTGGGGCTAGGCAAGAACCCAGGTCTCCTAATTCCGGGGCTCTCTCCCCCCTTGCAAGCCAAAGGAATTGTTTAAAATAGAAGAGGGCAGCACGCTGCACCCCCACATTAAACCGTCTACTTTTGTGTGTACAAGAGATAAGAGGCCGAGAAAGACACACCGAAATGGTACAGTGGTTACCACTGGGGAGGGCCTGGAACTGGGGGATGGAGGTGATGAGGGGAGATGGTCCAGGGAACCTCTCACTGTATCTGTGTCATGTGGACATTTCACACCTATGTATTCACAGCATGTGGACTAGGAGGTGGCCACAGGGGTTTGTTTTCATCCCAGCCCTGCGTGATATTCTGCAAGCTAGCTGGTGAGGTGCTTCCAGCCAGAGATCACTCGGGGCAGACTTGGTCCCATCTTGTGGGAGTCGTTGCTGACTCCCCAGTTAAGAGGCTCTCGGGTCAATGTGGCCTCTGTCACCACGTATCCTTATCCACAGGGCCACACTTTGTCGTGAAACATCCCACCTTTCCCCCAGCTGACAGGGAAGCACTGGTGCCAGGGACTTGTCTCACATCCGGTGTGAGCCCGGGCCCGGCTGACAGGCCAAGGTGTGACTGTGTACTCGTGAGAAAAGACAGGCAGTGTCCTCCCTAACATGCTTCTCCAAGGCACGGGGCGGTCATCAAGGCAGGCTGGGCGATAAGGCCCCTGGGTGTCACATGCTGACGGGAGGGAACTCTGAAATGCGGCCTATGTTGGAAACGGCCATTTCTAAGTCAGGGAAAAGCCCGGCCGATGCCCAGTTCTCATGAAGGAGAAGACATCGTGGCATAAATAAAATCTCCAGAGTCTGGAGGCCAAATGGCTTTTTCCTGAAGGGCCTTGGTTGGTGTCAGTTACTCATAAGACAGATCAGATGCTACTTCTTCAGGGGACCTGCCCCTGGGCACCCCCCCAGAATGAATCCAGTCCCCCTTTATGCCCTCTCCCTGATCCCTGTAATTTCTCCTGTGCCATAGTTAACACACTTCTATTCATCCGCTTCTGTAATTAAACATTCCACATCTCTTCCCCCAAGAGAAGGACTGAACTGTCACCGCTGAGTCTCTGTGCCCAGCACAGCGCCGGTGCATGATCTGCTGAACAGTGACTAGGAGAATGACGAAAGGGAGCTTGTCTAGTGCTGGAGCCCAGCACAGCGCCGGTGCATGATCTGCTGAACAGTGACTAGGAGAATGACGAAAGGGAGCTTGTCTAGTGCTGGAGCCCCTCCCCCACAAACAGCAGACCCCACGGGAAACACCCAGAGCACCCACCCCATCAAGTGTAACAGAGTCTGCTGAATCCCTTTTACATTCGTGCTTCCCTCTAGAGTTCCCTAAAGATTGTAATCGAACAAAAAGCTCTTCTGTATGAAAACAAGAAAAAAAGAAAAAAGAAAAGAATAGCTAATTGAAGCCCCTCAGTTTTCAGATGGGAAACTGAGGCACCGGGAAGGGATGTGCTTTTGCCTTGGGCCACACAGCCCTTGAGCATGAGAGCCAGAGCCGGAAGCCCGGTCCCTGCCTCCCATCCCTGCATGTCGACTCCACTGAGCTCCAGGATGACAGGAGGGGAGAGCAGGCCCCCGGAGCTGAACCTGCAGAGCCAGCAGTCACACTTGCCTCCTCCATTTCAATCTTGGACTTGGCCAGGAGGAGCTTGCGGTCAAAGTCACGCTGCTTCTGCTCCCGCTCAGCCTCCAGGTCAGTCACCTGCTTCTGCAGGTCCGCCAGCTTCTGGCGCAGCTCGGTGATCTGGGTTCAGAGGCAGAGAGACAGAGCGTGTGAGGGCCGGGGTGAACGTCCAAGGTTCAATGGCTGCTGTGAGGGAAGCAGCGTGCAGAACGCTGGGGAGGCCCCGAGAGCCCAGCTGAGAAGCAGGGGTCCAGCCTTGAGTTCCCGTCACCCCCACGCTACCTTCTGCTCGTACTGCTGCTTCATGGACCGGAAATGCTGGTCCCACTGCTTGTTCACTTCCAGCAGCTGCGGGGAAGACATTGGGGTGGGCAGGAGGTGAGCAGAGAAGGACCAAAGAGAGCCAACTCCACCCACACCAGCTTCCCAGGTGCATGGAGCGTGTGTGGACGGCGGCTACGCACACTGCCTCCATCCTGCGCTTCTCAAACACCTTCCTCAAAGGGAGTCACTTTTATCAACCACCACATTTTACCACTGCCAGGAAAGGAAGACTAGCACCAAGGCACAGAAGCAGTACACAGTTTTGGTTTAGAATTATGGAACACACACCCATGTACAGGGCAATATGGGACCATGTATTAAAACATCAAGTTCTGCTTCTCTTTAGCCAAATAATTCCACTCTGAAAAACGTAACCAAGAGAAGCACTTGAACAGGTGTGTAAAAAATACGGGCACTGCTGATCATCTCAGCAATGCTTATATTGCAAAAAACAAGAAAACCTAGGGGCCAACGTGAGCATTGGAAATAAGTTAAGGAAATTATAGAATAAACAGAGAAGGGAGGACTGGGGAGCTCTTCAGAAAGTCAAGTGTCTAATACATTGACTCTGCTCTAGGATGACACTAATTATTTGCCATAATCTTGATATAACAGCAATCCTTCAGGGAAGAAGAAAGAACCTAACACATTAAATAGATAAAACAATGGGAAAGGGTATTCCAATTTCAGAAACGTTAATATATGATAAAAAGTATTCAGAATTAAAGGAACAGAGAGTATGTTTGATACATAAATATCCTCAAAGACAGAGTTAATTCTAAGAAAAGAAAGGAAAAGCAATCTGTAATGCAGTAGGTGTGATGTCATTTTTACAAACATTACACACTAGTAAGTACATAGCCAAAATTGAGGCATATGCAATTAACTTTTTCAGCTGTGGTCATCCCCAGCCAGTGAGACTCTCGATCTTTATATAATGAGCATTGTATTACTTAAGTAATCGAAAAAAATATCTTAACAGCAATACAAAAATAAAATAAAAATAAAGATGCACATAAACAAAAGATCAATAGAAACTGACTCTCAAATGTGCTGGAGGACCAGGGAGGGCAGAAAGGCCCAGGGACTGGACAGGCACCTGAGCCGTGTGGAGAGGAGGGGCTCAGAGAACAGAGACGACCAGGCCTCCACCCTGGTCCAGAAATACCAGCGCTGGGAGACAGAGGAGGAACAGGCAGGAGATACAAGGGAAGAGCCCCAACTTCTGCAGACTCCCAGCTGATTAGAAGCAGTGCTACAAGTAGGCATGGGCTCTCTCTGTCTGTGACAGTCTCTCCCTGAACCAGCTGTGTGGTGACAGATGAACTCCAGACTCCCCTTTCCTGATGCAGAAACTTGCCTCTTATCACAACCTCTTTCCACCACCCAGGGTTTACCACAGGAGCCTTCCTAAATTACCCCCTCAACAAATTTAGACCATGTCCCAAATGCCTCCTCCTCAGAGTGACTCCTGTAGGCAGGGGGACTGATCAAGAGACAAGAGCCCAGGGCAAGGCAGCATGTCTCAGCTGTGGGCAGATGGCTCAGCGGTCACCATGGCAACCGGTCACAGTGACCTGGAACTAGCTGGAGCCAGGAGGCCAAGGAAGGCCTTTGCCCTGCTGGTCCCAGGAGGCAGGAAGGGTGTTTCCTGACCACCACCACCCCGTCCAGCCACCTACCTCAGTGCGCTGCTGCTCCAGCATCCTCACCTTCTTCTCAGCTGCACCCAAGGCCCCCACCTCTGAGATTTTACCTGCTGTCACACTAGCCTGAGGAGAAGCACAGAGGCGCCTTCAGCAAAGCCTCAAGTAACAATTCTCTCACCCATTCAGTGCTTCTTTAAGGCTGCCCAGCCCTGAGACCCAGCCCTCTGTCTCCTGCCTCTGTACCCTCCCACCCATCAGGACACTGCTACACATCCCAGCCATGACTGAGTGCCTCCAGAAGACATGGAGATCACTATTCCCCACCCCTGATGGCAGGGCCTCCTAGGCTCTTCCCTCCCCCTCCCCCCTCCTCCCGATGGCCACTTCTTTCCCTGCCCAGGCTCTAGCTCTAAGCACTGCCAGCTGCCCTCCCTTTCCACTCCCATCAGCCAAAAATCCTCTGGCCAAGGAGGCCAGTGTTACATGTTTTTTTTTTTTTTAACATTTTACAAAATGTTTGCTCTTTAATGTTTTTTTTAAAAAGATACACAAATAAAGATGTGTGTGCACGGGTGATGAGTACATGGATTTCCTGGCTCTGCCCTCTCAGAGGACCCAAAGCAATGTCACTGCAATGGCAGTGAGCACAGATCGTGGTTTCTAAATGCCATTCTCCAACTAAAAGAAACAGGGCTCCTTGGAGAAGTGGTCAATTTCAGGGCTGGGGCAGGGAAAATACAGTGAGTAGGAAACACCTTACAGGGCCAGAAAGTAAGGAAGTGCTTGGTCATCAGAATAATATTAAGAAGGAGATGGGCGTGTCACATGGGCAAAGGGGACAACTTGAAAAAGCTTCTTATCACCAAAGCTGGAAAAACGTGAACGAGAAAATAAACTGCGATTATGTTGGATTATAAGCCAAAGAACAAAATAAATATCCTTGAGTCCGTATTAATAGAAAGAAATAGATGAATAAATAAATAAATGGGGGAGAAGGAACAACTCCTCTTTACAGGAGAGTTCCAATGAATAAACAGAGAAGGAATGAGGGAAATACAAAATCGCCATTAGAATAGTTCGTGATAAAAGTCACTGCCGGTGAGATCCCCCAGGGGATGCCAAAATTAGTGTATGGAAACAGAGGACACCTGCAGCCTCCAAGTTTCTCCTCAAAGATAAGTATTTGTTTTAAAAAAGTAAGTATTTGTTCATTACAAAGGGGAGATCGATCCCTTTACTACAGAGAAAACTGACAAGACACTCCTTTAGTCAAACAACCAAGATTAACAGTAAATAGACACAGTGACATCATGTACCCTTGACATGATGCAAGATGTCACTCCCACGGTCTGCTCGTCCAAGTCCGTAACATCAGCCTCAGCATGAGGAAACATCAGGTGGTCCCCAGACTGAGGGACATCCCACAAAGTAACTGACCAGTGTAACTCAAAAGCCTCAAGCACGTGAGAGATAAGAACCACTGGGGACTGTCACAGACAGAGGAGGCCAAAGATACACATGACAACTAAATGCAATGGGGGGTCCTGGATTCAATCCTGGTACAGAAAAAGGACATGAGTAAAAACTGGTGAACTCGAACACAGTCTGTAGCTCCGTTCATAGTCCTGCATCCGTGTTCCTCTCCTGGTTTTGATTAACTGAACCACGGTCATGTAAGATGTTAAGGGGATGGGGATATGGGCACCCTCTGGACTATTTTTGCCTCTCTTCTGTCTAAGTTTAAAGTTATTTCAAAATACAAAGTTTAAAAAATTATTTTTTAAAATAAGAACTGTTGAGGTGAAATGGCAGAACGAAGCTAGCAATCCAGACGTTGAGCACCAGCTCTACCTCCAAGGCCCTGCATGATGGAGGCCAAGACTCACACCTTCTCTGGGCCTCGGCACAAGGAGAAGACCAGTCAGGATGGTCTCTGAAGGCCCCAGCCTCTGACAGTCTGAGGGCCTGACAGCAACTGTCCTAGAGTCACTGCCCACATTCTATGTCCTGCCTTCCCAAACTCCTCCACACTCCTCCGTGGCTTTGGTGGGGCCTGAGTGCAGAACTTGTGGGGCTCAAGTGCCCCCTACAGGCTAGGTCTGTAAGCACATCACAGAACCAGGGAGTAGGGGGAGAGGGAGGGCTGGGGGGACACCCTCCAGGGACCATTACCTCTTTTAAGGAAAGTGAGAGATGGGCCTGCCCCTAGAAGCCAGCTGCCTCCTGGAGGGGAGCTGTGCTTAGCCTTACTGGAGGAGGAGGAAGAAGGTGTGTCATGCTCCTAGGGACGCATCCCTAACCTCCACGAAAAAGAGGAGTCCGCCGACCTGGCTGCCGGCACCAAATCTGCCATTAAAAGCAATGGCCAATGCTCCCTGTCCACCACATGCCAAGTGTTAGATCTACTTTACAAATGTCACATCGCTGAATCCGCTAATCACCCTCTGGGGTAGGTGTTATTATCTCATTTTACAGAGGAGGAAACTGAGGCCAGAGGGTTTATGCAACTTGTCCAAGACAGATGCACCAACAAGAAGGAGAGCCAGCATTCAACTCATGACACTCCAGGGTATGGGCTTCACCACCGCCCACAATGCACGCCCCCTGTGGGGCCTTCCTCCCTGGCAGGGCGATAAGAGCATCTGGCCTTTCCAAGGAGTCCAGTGAGATGAGCTGATGTTGAGGGCTTTGGGTGAGAGAAGGGGCCTGCCCACAGACTTCCGAGAAGCCAGGGGTGATTAGGAGAGTCGGCAAGTCACTTCCACAAGAGGGCAGGCAAAGCAGGCTCTGAGTTGAGGGGTAAATGGAAGAGGAGAGGGGCTTCACGGGCTGGGATTCAGGAGGCCACTCATCAGCATGTTGCCTACCCACACCCCGTCTGCCTGAGAGCAGGTGGATACAGGAATCTTGATGTGATGTCACAGGCCCTTTCCAAAACTCCTGCCATGGAGCAAGAGTCCCAGTCCTGCCTTCCTGACATGCAGAAGGAGGTCCAAATCAGATAATGGATTTGCAAATTCTAAGTAAACTCTTCATTGCCACATAGTCATGGATAATTAAGTTATTAGGATAATTGTTAGTATTACATAGGTGTGGGGTTTGTTAAAGACGCTGAATCCTGCTGTGCAGCCGTTAAACCTCATTAAAGGGGGAAAGCGTATCAGTGAAAAGGCTGAGATTCAGCTCTGCAAGGGGAAAGGCACAGACTTGGCCAAGGGGACAGCCAGCTCCCTCCTGCTCAGGAACTGGATGTGAGCCAGTGCTGGGAGCAGCCACACAGAGGGGGCAAGTCCGCCAGCCCAAGGCATTAACAGGCCCTGCAAGTTGGCCCACACCCTCCTCCCTGCATGTCAGAGGCCCCAGGGTGCAATCACAGGAGCTTAACAGAGTCCCCTCAGGGGCTTTCTCAACCTAACACCCTAATTCCACTAGGAGAATCAAAGTTAAACTGTTATTTACAGCCACCCTGTACCAGATCTTGACAATCTGGAATGCCCAGATTGCACAAATGACGTGTCTTTATGAGCAATGACCAAAGGAACTGCAGCTACTCAGCCTGGAGAAGAAAAGGCTTGTGGGGGCCACGGAGCCACAGTCCCCAGCGGCCTGGGCGCCTGCCCCAGGGGACAGGATGCTCTGTGTGGCTGATGGCAGAATAAGGGCTGAGGAGTGTAAGACCTAGGGAGGCGGACTGTCAGGCTGACCGGTGAACTGTCAGGCTGACTGACGACCAGAACCTTTTAACAGTGGAAGTGGCTGCAGCAGGAGGAGGTGAGCTCACTGTGGTTAGAGGCTGGGCAGTCGGGGTGCTGAGGAAGGAGCTGCTGACCACATACCTGTGGCTGTGGGGCCACCTCCTTCTTGCCCGCACCTTCCAGCTTTGGTGAGCCTGGCTGCCCGGAGGCACCATCTTTGCCGCTGCTCGTCAACAACTTCTTGAGCTCCAGGTTTTCCTCCCTGGGTTGGAGGCAGACAGAGAGGTCACACTGCTGGCCCTGCGTTGAGGGGGCTGGGGGCCTCGGACCTACTACTCATCTCAGTTGCAGGTGAGTCCTGGGGAGGAAGGCAAGTGCCTGAAACCTGCCCCTTAGGTGCAACCACAAAGGGCATCCTTAAGCCGCTTTGCAGGGCTTCCCTAGAAGCCTCTGATTCTCACCACAGGGTTTCCCCAACTGTGGGATGTCTGAACATGTGAGATCTTCAGGATGCACCCACGCTGCATTAAATAACCCTGGACCACACTCCTTGAAGAAGTGACACCCTTTCCAATGATCCTCAGACTCCCTGTGTAGAGAACGCGAGGCCAAGTCTCAGTTTGGCGCTGCAGGTTTGGAGCACCTCTCTGGTACCTGCTAGTCTCCTGCGTTAACAGAGAAAGCACAGGCTTCAGGCTCGGAGACTTCAGTGGGCAATCAGCCAGAACTAACCACCATCCCTCCATCTTCACTGCATTTGTTGTTGGAGTTATCTTCTATTTACTGCAGGTCATGCTGGTTTTCATTTACTCTAGTGCAAGCTTTCTTTATAATAATTTTAAGTAAAAGCATGATACAAATTAACGTGAATTCTTGAGTAAATAATAGGGTGGGTGATACAAGGCATAAGAAAAACGGTGATGTGGATTCAGGTACGATTGAAATATAGAAACTATTTCTTCGTATTCTATTTGTCAGCTGGGTTCCCACACAATAATAGGAAAACAGAGAAGTAAAGTGGCTTTCCCAAGGTCAAACAGTGGGGACTGGCCCTCTTGCCTCCTAATCATGAGTCTTTTCTCCAGCCCTGGTTTTTGGTGGAGTCATTACGGCTATAAAACTCCAACTGCTTGGCCATCCAGGAGTCAATCAACACATATGGCCTGGAAACCGCACAGTGGTAGTCTCACACAACTCCCTCTGGGCCTCCCTTGGCCTCGGTCTCCCTCTGCACGATGAAGGGTTTGGCCCACATAATCTCAAAGGGCCCTCCGAGCTCTGACAGTCAAGATCAGTGCTTCTCAAGTGCCATCCTGGGCCCACCCACATCATAATCTCGGAGGCCCACTGGAAAATGCAGGTGCCCAGGCTTCTCCGCAGGCTCACTGAACGAGAATCTCAGCACAGAAGGGGCGGGGAGGGCAAACTTGTAATGCCTTCCCAGACCCTCGGTGGTCTTGATGCACAATTAAGACCCGGTAGCCTGGATGAGCAACCCCTGACTGTTCTCAGAAAAACAGCAAGACAGGATGGTGACCGGCAGGGGGCAGCAAAGTCCTGGGCCCTCACTCCAACAGCCAGCCCGCCAGATTACCAGGCTGAGGGCGCAAGTTCCCAAGGATGGAGTGTACCTTGTATAGACCTTCTAAAACTCTCAAGGCACTTTATAAACAGGTACTCTCAAAGGTATTAAAAGAGCCAGAGACAAAACACCAAGGTACCCAAGGAGAAGGAACAAGAGACCTGACATCCAAAGCAGGGCCCTGGGCACAGGCCTCAGAGCTCTCAGCCCAGAAACCAGAGCCGCCCTCTTCCTGCCCATCTGCTCCTCACCCCTTCCTTGAGGAGCCTGGACTCACCGCAGCCTCTCAGCAGCCTGATCCCGCTGTTCCAGGCCCTTGTCCAGCTTGGCCTTCAGGGCCTCATTTTCCTTCCGAAGCTGTTCACACAGGGTCTGCGGGGCAGAGAGGGAGACGGGGGCAAGGTAAGGGAAGGGGTACATCCCAAATCCAGGTTGATACTGGAGGGCAGGGGAGGCATCATAGCTACACCAGGTCCCAACACAGCATCCCCTTTGCATGGCCTCAGCCAATCCCTCTTGGGACAGTGGGAGCCATACCATGAGGCCCATTCAGGCTCCTCTATGCACCGTCTCCGTCAGTAGCTAGCCGTGAGGATGCCTGATCAAGAATCAGCCTAAGGGCCTTCTGGACTCCCAAGGCAAAAAGTATCAACCCTCCTCCTCCTCCTTCACTGCTGTTCCCATAGCCTAAAATGCCCTTCTCCACCAGCCTTCCCCTGGCTGACTTCTACTCCTACTTCAAGTCTCTGCCTAAATGTCACCTCCTCAGAGAAGTCCTCCCTGACTCCTACATCTCAAGTGAGTCAGGTTACCTCCACTATCCTCCACTGTTCTCACCCTTCTCTATACCTGTGATAATTAGAGCTAAAGAACCAGTGGTGGTGCTACTTTCTTAATGCCCACTCCCCACCCACTGCTAGTCCATGAACTCCCAGAGGGCTGGGACCCCCTCACCACTCTCTTATCCTAGGGATTTCTGCCGGATCCCCAGCCCAGGGCCCAGCACAGTTTGTCATTTAACTCCATTGCAGGAAGACTGAATGGCTAAATGGCTAAATGAATAAATGAAACAGGAAAACCTGAGTCCTAGGAGGCCTAAAGCCTAGTGAATTTGGAGAGTGTGCGAGGTTGTCAGATGGCAAGTCGGAAGACAGGGCACTTGGTCAAAACCTCACCAGTTCCTTGGTGTGGCTCAGGGTTCCCTTGCTTCTGAGTCACAGTTCCCTCCCCTACAAAATGGAACACCTGCTCCTTCCCTCCCCCCTTTTAGGAGCTGTGAGGACAAAGAAGACAGGGCGAGTGCAAGTGACTTGTGAGCTGCCAGGCACTTGATAACACCTAAGGACTTGCGTCTGAGTGCAATGAGGTGGGGGGCATGGAAGACAGGGACCAAAGCTACATATTTGACTCTGTTTTAAAGGTAGGCTAAATGCAGGTGAAATAATTTGCAGGAGGTTGTACCACTATTAAGAATCACCACCGGGCTTAAACTCCATCTGGCAGACCCTAAACTGTGCCTCCTTCCCCTGTGATGAAGGAGCAGAGAAGGGAGATGGCAGCCTGTGAGCTGGGCTGGGGGCACAGACAGTCTCCTGCATCTATTTCCCAGGTTCGCCGTGATCGTGTGACTAGTTCTGGCCAATGAAAGGTGAGTGGAAGGGACGAGTGTCACTTCTGGGCTCGGCCATGCACCATCCTCTGGTCTCTTTTTCCCAGAGGCTGCCTCATATTCCAAAGGGCACAGGACAGTGGGCCTCTACGTGAGTGCAGAGCAGAAACAAGCCCCAGCCACACAGACGTGAGGGAAAACTTTTACGTTACGAGTTGTTTGTTTCCACAGCAAAACCGAGCCCCTCCTGCCCAACACAGGGGAGACCTGGGAAGGCTGGATGGAGGAGACAGCCTGGAACTGGTGGGGACTCAGACACGAAGGAAGAGAAAACCACTGTGACTGGCTGCAGTGCCCAGCAGAGGCCTTGTGCCAAACCTGGCCTTGGAAGTGCTGAGTGAACCAAGAAACCAATCAGTGTATGAATGAGGAGGAACCGGATTATTCTGCCTCCACCCACAGGTTGGGCAAATACCCAGGATGCCATGGCCCTGGGCAGGGCCTCCAGGGAACAGAACGCCCTGCTGTGGTCACTACAGGAGGCCAGGACAAGGCCTCACATGCTCTCTGCCCTTCCAGGCTAGAGGGCTATTTCCTCCGAGTCTCTGGGCAAATGTCCTGGGCACAAAGCAGCTGATGGACAGAATTCATCACAAAGGTCATCACTTTCCACCGAAGGGGCTAAGAGAGCTCCTCTGTGAGCTCCTTTGTTCACTCATTCATTCGTTCATTCACCAAATGCACACTCAGCACGTATTAAGTGCCAGACACTGGGGTACAGTGGTGAATACACAGACAAGGTACCTGCCCCTCTTGTGAGCTTACATTCTAGCAGGGAGCACAAGGGGAAAAACACAAAGTAAGTAAACCGCTTAATAAAATAAAATTATGACAAATTATGAGAAGAGCTAAGAAGGAAACAAACGGGAGTCTGGTATAAAAATAACAGGTTGGCAGGACCCCTTTTATGAGGCCTAGTATCAATCCTCATTTCAAAGCTGAAAAGGAGACACTCAGAGTGATCCCATTCCATGCAGTGCACCAGGTTCACCTGCTCAGAGCTCACCTTGGCATCCCGAGCCTCGCCGACTGACAACCGAAGGCTGTCTCCCTCAGCCTGGCCCTCCAGGCTCCAGTCACTACTCCCAGAGTAGCCCCTCATCTGTCTTCCGCCTGGACACCCCTCCTGCTCTTGCCGACCCAGGCCCTTCCCAAGGCTGCACACAGCTAACACCTCCCGCCACCCATCAACTGGTCACTCCAATGTTACAGACATGAGTGAGACCACAGGGCGTGACTGGCACAGAGGAGGGAGGAAGGCTTCCAGTTACAGCTCTGTCACTAAGGGGACAAGTGCTCAGGGCCTAAGCAGGCCCTCTTGGAGCCTCAGTTTCACCACCTGTGAACCTTTCCCTACTCCCAAGCCCTCGAGGCTCAGATCCCCTGCCCAGGGTGGATGCCCAATCACCACAAAATCACTGACCACTTTTCAAGCACTTACTATGTTCTCGACGCTACTAGGGGCTTCATTTAATACTCACTGCAGTTCCCTGAGGGAGGAAGCTCCAGACCCATGTTACCGATGAGGACATTGAGGGACAGAGAGGATAAGTGACTTGTTTAAGGTCAGAGAGCAACAAAGAGTCACTGCTGGAACCAAGGACCAAATGGCCCAAGGCCTGGCCTGGTCTAGGAAGAAAATCTGACTTCATTCCCATTTTCGTAACAGGGAGGGTTATGGAAGAAAGCTCCCTCTCTTGGGGGAGGCAGGTTACGGGACTTAAGAGCATGGGCTTTGGGACATGACAGATCAAAGTTCAAATCCCAGCTGCACCATCTACTAGCTGGGTGATCTCAGGCAAAAAAAAAAAAAAGTCACCTCTGAGAGCTATGGTGGGGACAATGATGGTCCTACCGCAGCGGTGGGGCAGACATACGAGAGGCCATCCTCTGTCCCCTCTCTCCCCACCTGTATGTGAAGAACAAGAAAGGCCGAGCTGCTGCCGACCTACCCACAGCCAGAGGCTCAGGGGTAAACCCAACCATGAAATTTGCATCGTCCACCCCATTATTTCCCAATTTCCTTCCTCTTCCTCGTCCCTTCCCACAACTTCCTTACCCTGCTCACCATCTTGAACAAGAAGCCCAGGTCGGGCCCCCAACCTCACCCTCAGAAGTCCCCGAGGAACCCTGGACTCCCCAGCAGAGCTGGAGGAAGCGGAAGGGGAACCACACAGCCCAGCGCAGCCCAGGCCACCCTCCCCGGCCCGGCCTCACCTGCAGGATGGAGGTGCGCTGCTCGTTCTTGTGCACCTTGGAGGCCAGCCGGTTGAACTCGAGGGCCATGCGGCTCAGGTGCGTGAAGAGCTGGCTGCGGTCCGGCTCCTCGGCACACACGCTCAGGGTGGTCTCCAGGCGCTGCAGGTGCAGCATCAGGTTGCTGTCCTCGTGGGGCAGGGGGCCCAGGTACTGGGGGGCGGGGAATGCAGACTGCTCTTCAGCACCATCTGAGTAGGTGACACCAGCCATTCCCCCTCCACTTCCCCGTTCCTCATGACTCAGTTTCCCCCCATCCCAGCTCAGCCCGGGGAAATTCTCCAGTTACGCAGGTTCCCTGTCTGGGGCTGAGTCACAGGGCAGGACCTGGGACTCCCAGGCCACTGGCTGGCTTACCAGTCGTGGAGCCACCTGCCTCCCACATTCCAGGCCTCGCCGAGTGCCTGTGGGTAGATCACTTGTCCACTGGGCCTCAGAATCCTCAGTTACTAAATGTCCACGCCCTCTTTCTGCCCTCTGACCACACAGGGTCCTCATGCAGAGAAAGCATGGGGCCCAGGAAAGGGTACCCCTCCACGTGCAGCCCTGCTCCTTTGGCTCAGGGATTGCGGGCCAGGTTAAGAATCCTAGCTCTAGATAGCTCAAAGGACCCCAAACTAGTAGAGAATAGAAGAAAGGAAGCAAACCCTGGGCCAGATAGTCCAGTCAGAATTCATTCTCTCTCTCCCTGTCTCTCTCCTTTCCATCTCTCCTCTTTCTAGAACACTCTCACCATAGACAGTGCCCAAGGTTCCACAGGGGCACCTGAAGCTGATGGCATCGAGCTCAGTTCACCTCCCAGGCATCCGAGGCCCCACCTTACCCTGCAGGAGCCCCCACGCCTCCTTGTGCTTCATTCCCACCATGTCCCATCTGCTCGTCTTTCCCGGCCCTGCCCCTGTTTCAGCTGCTCTGTAGGCCTCCCCTAAACATATATGGGAGCCACAGGAAGTGAGAGCTATGGGGAGCCTCCAGGTTCAGGCTTGGAAACCAATGTACGTGGAGAAGGAACCTGTCCAACGTCGCCCGGTGAGTCAGTCAGGACTGGAACTTGGGCTTCCTGACTCCCTGTCTCATAGTGACTTCCTGCATCTGAACTCTGCAGCAGTGGAAATGCCCTGACAGCCACAGTGGTGTTCAGTGAATGCCTAGATAATATTGTTAGCGCCTTATTCTAACAGATACCGCTGCTTCCTCAATTCTGCCTTCCTTCCCCACTGCCTCTTTCCACGAAGGATCTCAGGTGGCAAATGATGCTCTATTTAAGCCTCATAAATTGCCTCATCCCTCTGACCTCTCTGACTGGCCTATAAGCCCCCAGAGGGCATGGAGGCTGTCTTGTCTTTGCTCAGCACAGGTTACACACATAGTGGGGCTAAGGAGGAACCTATTAATGAGATGAAGTTACTGGCCCAAGGTTATAAGAGTGAAATACTTTCTGAGCAGGGGTCCTCAACCAGCTCTGCAGAGCTCTCAGGGACACAACAGGACAAGGGACTGAGGTTCCCAGGAGACGAAACACAGACCCTTCTAATCCTCAGAGCTGCCTGATGTGGTTGTGAGCCCCTCGTCACTGAAGGTATGCCAGTGCAAGCTGGAGGATCATGTGATGGGGACGACCTTGCATGGGGACTGCACTGATTGCACAGAGGCAATCAGTGAACTAAAGAGCAACGTTTGTGTCCCAAATCCTTGGTGGAATGAGGCAGTGGAGACCGAGGTTAACAGTGAACGGTTAGACCACAAACTGCCTGTATAACAGCCAAAAAAAATCTCAAAGTGAGGAGGGAGGGAGGAGGAGAGAATAGGTCTTTAAGACCATTTTAAGACTTTAAGACTTTTGAAGGTCTTTAAGACCTTTGCAATGGTTCTCCAAAAGACTGCCATTTTAAGAGAGAGCAGGAGGACAGAGCTGGAGTAAAGGCAGCAAGTAGGATAAGGTACAGGATGAGGATGTTGGGTGGACACCCCAGGGCCGGAGGGCTGTGTGTGCGTGTGTGCGCATGTGTGTATGTGCGTGTGTGTGTGCATGTGTGTGTGGAAGTGGAAGGTCTACCCTCCTCCCTGTATGCCCCGAAGGGGAGCCTGGGGGGAACTGGGAGCCTGCACAGAAGGGCCAATCACCTGCTGTAAGCCAGTCTGGGCCTCTCTGACCCTTTCTACTCTGCCCGGGCTAGGAGCCCACAGGCCCAAAGGCTGAGTCATAACATGGAGGTGCCTGGTGCCTGGCAGAAATCAGCGGGGTTGGCAAGGTGCCCAGGATTTCACAATGTTGTCTGCTTGTGCGGCCCATGGGAAAGTCACCAGCCAGGCATTTGCATATGTGAGCAAGAAGCACCCCCCTCAACACGCCACCCCGCCTGCACTGGCCCCTCATGTATCCCCAGGTGACTCCAAGGTGCCCAGGGGATGAGAGCAGGTCCTACGCCTCTCCCCCGGAGCCAGGTGACTGAAACAGAGAGGAGACGGGGGACATGCCCAGGGACCTGCCGTCTACTCACCGTCGTGTCTCTGGTGCGGCCACTGCTCTCTGGTGGAGAATGCCCCTCGGTGGGGACCACTTCAAATTCAGAGGAGGTGCCCTGTGCAGAAGAAGGGAGCCAAGGGCTGCCTGAGAGAAAAGCACCTCACCCCGCCTCTTGGGTCCCGAGGCTGAGAGCATCGAGGGGCAGACATGGAAGGACAAAATCCCTTATCATGTCCAAGTCCCCTGGACGCCCCTCCGTGTGAGGGCAGCCAGCCCAGGAGAAGCTCAGAGACCGTGAAGTGGGAATCCCGGGAAGTCCGCCCGCAACCCACAGTGTGAGTCGAGGTCACAACCCTCTGTCGCCCGTTTCCTCATCGGTAAAACAGGGATACTGGACTAGCTGACTTCAAATCGCTTTAGCACTTCAGGATCGTATCTTTTTTAATGGCCTTGCACTTTTAAAATGTCTTCCTGAACTCCAGTTTTTCTTAAAGCAACCCATGGAGTGGTCAGAAGGTTGCATCCCCTTTGGACAGAGGAGGAAACTGAGGATATATCATTACTGAATGCAAAAGTAAGGACTGCAAATCCAGCACTCCTGCTGTGGCACCAGGGCTATCGCCTAGGCCCAGGTGTCTCCAACTGGTCACAGACAGCAGTTACCGTGGCCACTGCCACAGTGGTCCCGTGCTAGCCTTCCCAGCCCAGTCCCAGGGATCCCAGAGGAGTGGACTGATCTGTGATAAGTCCCAGAGAGGTGCTGACAAGCCTGAAGAGACTTTTTCAAGACACACCCAAATCCAGAGTGGCTAAGGACTCCAGGCTTTCCCACACCTCCCAGCCACTCCAAGTAGAAGGTACTGGCTGTGCAACCAACAGATGGGCCGATGGTCCCTCTGAACCAGCAACTGGCTCTGGACTTGCTCCTAAACCTAACAAAGGCTAATTCAGCCTTCCCTGGTCCCAGGAAAGGGCAGGGCTGGGAGGAGCTCTGTGCTCAGCCTCTGCTGAGCCTCATGGCCACCAAGAACCCAGCTCTGGATCTCGGCACCACCCTAGAAAGTTTCCCTTTCACCTCTCCCTTTTGCTAGTTGTCTGCGTGACCCTGGAAAATGCTCTTCTCTCTCTGGATCTGATCTGTGGGATGGAGACTCTAAATGATATGACCACCTGGGTCCCCTCCAGTCCTAGGATACCAAGCAAAACTTCTCAAGGCAAATCTGCAGAAGACAGTTGCTGAGCCCCTGCTGAGAATGTGAGTTCCATGTCGCATCTGTCTGCTTTCCTAGCACTGCGCAGTCCATTCATGCAGAACAACATGTAACCTAGCAAATGGGAGGCACTCCTTGTGCATATCAGGGTCCTCCTGGTAAGATTCAACTTCAACCTTCACTTGAAAATGGGGAACCCGAGGCCCCAGACAGACTGAGATCAACTTGCCAATATCACCCAGCAAGTAAGAAGCTAGGTTTCCTGACCCCAGCCCTCTCTCATCATGTTCCTGCCCATGGGACCTTGAAATCCAGGCGACTTTCAGCCATGACTCCAAATACAACTTACGCTGGATGGAGGTTTGGGGATTGGCTCTGGCTTGTCGCAGGGGCGTGCAGGGTCAGCGGGAGGTGCTGGGACATCTGCATCCTTTCCTGGAGAATTGAGAAAACGTGGATAAGCAGCAGGGAAAAGAGAAAAGCCCAGATGCTACCTTCTTAAGGATAGCCTTGGCCAGAGGAGTTCTCAGAGTCCAGGAAACTGGGAGGGGGTCCCAGCATGGCCAAGGGGCCTGGGAAAACAACTGGCTCAGGAATGATGGGGCAGAACATGGGCAGAGAGAGTCCATCTTCCCTGGACTTGCTGGGGAAATCCCAAGGTGGTCACTGCTCCTTGCTACCCTGGACCTGCCTCAATGTGACAAGTATGACAATTTACAATTAATGAAATGTTTTTATATTTATCATCTCAGCCAACTCACAGGACAGCTTTGTACTCCATTTTCAGGTAAGGAAACTGAGACATACAAAGGTCACAACCTGCCCATGGTCACACAGCCAGCAAATGAAGAACCAGAACTTGAACTTGGCTCTCCCTCCCTGACCTCCTGCAGTTCTTGCCACAGGGAGCCCCTTGAGGGTAGTTGCACATCTCCCTCTGGGGATGGGCCCAGCACTCACCCGGGACTCAGGAGACATTGCTCAATGGACAAGTGGAGGCTGGAAATGCCCACTGCCGGCAGCCCAGCAGACTCTGAGATCATCGCCTTCCTCCATGTGTCCATTCAGCAAATGTAACCAGCAGCCAAAGAGAAGGCAGGCACATCGGCCTGGGCTGAGACCATAAGGTAGAGCCGTACAGCAGGGGGCATGTGAGCCCCATGTGTGGGAACCTTCTCCTCCTGAGTCCCAGACCTTGCTCTGGACTTGGAGACATGCCAGAGGAATGCATGGTGACCACACACAGGACTTTAACCCCTAGCCACAGTCAACGCTTTCCTTTACTAGGTAGCATGTGAAACCTGACATCTGACAGACACTGCAGCAGGCTGATGGGCAAGTCCAGTTCTTCCACGGGCCTCAGCCTCCCCAGTTATAAAATGGAAAGAGGGGGCCAGACCACAGAGCTTTTGACTCAGATGCCAACTCGAGCGACCCAAAGTAGCTTCCTGGAGCATGACGTCTGGCACATAGTAGCTGCTCATTAAAAATTTGCTGAATAAGTGTCCTGGTAAAGATCCTGAGTCCATATTCTGAGTGCAGTGTGTGGTGATCCATTTGTAACATCTGCCAGGGCCGCAGGGGTGCTGAATCACCAGCCACTTTGGGACAAGATTATTCTGGAGTCCCTTGCACATCTGACTTTCTGGGGGATGGTTTAGCCAAAACATGACTGGGAAGATGGCCTGCGGCCTAGGGATGAATGAAGGAGATGTGGATTTCTGACTAAGGAGAGAGTCCACGGTTAAGGGATTAGAGAGGTAGAAGATCAGGGAAGGCAGAGGACAACCTGGGTTCTCTGTGTACCTGTGAGCTCGGCCAGGTGGTCGAAGGAGGCCAAAGAGGGAGACGGCGGTGGGAGCGGCTCACTGTCCTTGACCAGCTCCTCTGCCTTCTGCCGCAGCCTGGACGCTTCCATCTGGGACTCTTCCAAAAGCTCCCCTGGGGGGACAATGGGGAAGGGAGGAGCAAAAGGAATTATTCAGCTCAGTATGCTGGTTCTCCTGCCCTGGGCTCCTAAGCCTGCTTCTGCCTGGCTTCTGATGCTCCAGGCCCTGGGCTTCACTCCCCCATCGCCTTGTGGGCTGAGTGGGGCACACATCATTCTTGCCCACAACCCGAAACTGGCCTGAGAAGGAAGGGGTCTCGCAATCACGAAAAAGGAGCAGAGGGGAGTCTAGAACAAACTCCTGGCCCCTGGCCCCTGCTTCCTTCCTCACTCCCGCCACATCTGGCTGAGGACTCCACAGAGCCAGGGGCTCTCTTAGGCCCACCATCATGGTCCCCGGGGGGCTCCCCACAGCCTACGGCCCACAGTCAGGGGCTGCCTGAAGGGAGGAGACCCTTGTAACATCAACCACCCCTCCGGGCCTCAATTTTCCTTCTCTTACAGGTGGAGACAGGGAAACTCCAGTCCTCCTTCCCCAGTCTGCCATTCTAAGCAGAGACTCGCCAAGCAAGGAAAAAGCATTTGGAAAATTGGGAGCTGTGCTCGCCCCCAAAGATGAATAAGCCCTGAGAAGATGGCAGCAAGGCAAAGGAAGAGTTTAAGGAGTATGGAGGAAAAAGAGACCCCCTCTGGACGAGGAAGTCAGTGAATGCCTCGCCTGGAGGAGGAGAGGGCACCTGAGCTGGCGGCTGATGGACAGGGACTGTTAAGTCATGTGGAGGCCAGCAGGCTTGTTCTAGGCAGTGGTGGCAGACTGAGCAAAAGCCAGGAACAGAGAAATCCAGGGGCCTCCTCCCACCTTGCTTCAAGCCAAGCTCGGCTCCCTGCTCCAACACGTGGGGACCGTTCTCGGGTTGCCCTGGTGATGCCAGCTCTCCCCATTTCTGCTTCCATGCCCACAAATTGGGCCTTTCAGCTCCCTCTCCCCCACCCCATGCCTCCTTCTCAGTCCCCCAAGGCTTTCTGAGTCTGTCATCATGGTTCTGGGGTGCTAGGGACTTGGGGCTGGGGGTGCAGCCACCATGTACAGAAGTGCATGAAGACACAGCTGTGGACCAGGAGGGAGAGGGATGTCTCGGGCAGAAGCACATGCCAGCTGGCACAGCAGGTTGCAGGGAAGAGGCTTGCAGGGAGAGCACAGAGTGCTTTACCTAACATCTTTATCCCTTGCATTTTTTCCTTCAGTCGGGAATTCTCCTCCACTAGGCGCTCAAAAGCTGCGGATGCCTCTCCCAGAGGCACGCCGCCCCCAGGGTCGTAGATCCGGTATGGTCCTCTCCCTTCCATGAGGGTGGCTCAGCCCCTGCCGTGGTGCCCGCCTGGCTGTAAGGACAACAGCAGTATGTCAGGGGGCTGGCCAAGCCACGGAGGCATCCTAGTCAGTCAAGGCCCCATAACCCAAAAGAGAACACAGCACTTCGGGCTGGTCTGGCCATGGTACAGGAGAGCAAGACAGTCACCTCCTTTGATCTGGACACTCTGCCTTTATTAACACAACCTAAGAATGACATCAGTTTCTTTCAGCAGCTCACTGCATTGCCGGTTCATTTGGAACAGCAGCCAATTGCGAGGTGCCATGGGGAGTACAAGAGAGCCCTGGCCTTGGAGTCAAAAAACTTGAGCTCGTGGCCTGTTGACCGGGTCCAGGAGAGGGACCCTGCATCACTGCACCCCCAGTGCCAAGCACGGTATCAGCTATGACGTGAATACCCAACAAACACTTACCGAATGAATACATGATCTAGCTATTAACTCACTGCGGGATCACGGGCAGTCCCCTCCCCTCTCTGAGGAGGGGAAATGAAAGTCTTACACTAAATCAGTGATCTTTAAAGTGAAATACTTGTGCCCAGAGGGATAAGCAAGTCAATCCAATCCGAAGTTCCATTTATATGTATGTTATCTTTTAAAAAAGAAAGACGAAGAAGAAAACCCCCTGACTAATATTTAATATACGAATTGACACTGTCAACCTCCTCTTTCAGTCTCGTGTCATGTATGGTCTGTCCCTTCCAGTTCTAATGAACAGATGGATTTTCCATCAAACCACCATCTACTTATGCAGCAAGTGCTCTGCACTACTCTGTTCAATTTCCCCTACTTTATTTCATTTGAAACAGCACTGCAAAGTGGTTTCAGAATCCCAGTTCTGTGACTTAGTAGAGAAACTTTCTTCTTGCATTCATTCAAAAATTATTTACTGAATATCTACTCTGTGCTGGGTACTAGTCTAGGTGCTAGGAAATTATCAGCAAACAAAATAGACAAAAATCCCTCATGGAGCTTACATTCTAGTGGTGGAGGCAGATAAAGTAGATAGAGAGAGATGAACACAGTATTAGGGATGATGAAAACATCTATGGACAAAAATTAAGCAGGGAAATGTGAGGCAGGGACTTTAATTTTCAATGGAGCTGTCAGGAAAGGCCTCACAGAGGAGTTATTTTTAACAGAGACCTGAAGGAGGTGAGGGAACTAGTCATGCAGATATCTAGGGGAATAGATATTTCAGGCAGAGAGAACAGTAAGTGCAAAGGCCCTGAGGCTGAAGAACTGATTCAGCCCCCAGCCCTACCAAGAGCTCATCAACCAGCAAAGATCTCCAAAAGCCCCCACTGGGGACCTCGGAAGGACTTGGAACCCTGAAACCTCCCTCCCAGGATCACCATTTCAGTTACAAGTTCTCAAAGGCCCTTTGATCACCCATACAGTGCTTGCTGAAAGCAAGTGTGAAAAAGAACCAATAATAACAACCACCATTCATTAACCTACACACCAGGCACTGCATTAAACGCTTCAGCTGCATTATCTCAGTGAAGCTGCACAACAACCCTCAGATACGTGCTAAATTATCTTCATTTTATAAGAGAGGCTCAGAGAGGTTAAGTAACTCAGCCGGGATTACACAGCCAGCAAGTAAGGGCCGAAATGCAAATCCAGTTCCACCTGACTAAGGAGGCTGAGCTAAATCCCTGCTATCCTCACACAGCTCCCCAACAAGACTCAGGCCAGAGAGGCAGAATGCAAGTGCAAGCCTGTTTGCAAGGTAACATGACGCTAGGTATCGGGCACCCGCTGGGCTGATTCCCCTGCCCGGTAGCACAGGAGACAACAAAGATTTCGTCTAGAGGGTCTACATTACCCTGGGATGCCGCGGGCCAGAAACGAAAACAAAGTTCTAGTGAGTGGGACCTCTCCCTCAAAGACTGACAAACAAGATAAACACATGCTTCGAGAGGCACCCACGCCCTGCTGAGCCCCACGGAGGCAAAGGACAGTCGCCCACATTCTCAACACGAAAGTCACCAGTCAGCTTAGGGTTGTTTTTAACTTGAAAGGTCAACTTTACACTACAGAGCAATAAAGCACTGATGTATTCACGGAATTGAAATAAAAGATAGTGTGGGTAGGGCACTGGGCACAACGACTGGCATATAGCAAGGAGCTCGAAATGTTAGCAGACGTGGGCGGGGGGGTCCTTCCTCTGTGCTCCCCGTCTCCTCCTGTGCCTCTCCAGCAAGCACTCACCGCCCAGTAAGGCGTGGATATGACTGGTTCGAGCACTGGTGCATTTGACTGAGAACTTCTGGAGGCGGGAGCGTGTTTTCCTCACCTCTGCTGCCAACACAGGCCTGGCACCTGGAGGGTGAGCCAAGACTGAGAGCTGAATGGAGTTTACAAACCGGGAGATGGAGAGCTGGAAGGGGCTATAGCCACTCCCGGGGAAAGTGACAGGAGGTGTCCAAGTTCCTGCTCACCCTACACAGAACTCACAGTTGACGCTATGTGATGATTTGAGTATGTTTTTACTCTACATCTGCTTGCCCAGTAGATTAGAAGCTCCATGAGAGCAGGGGCTGAGTCCATCTGGTCTACCAGGGTATCTTCGGCATGGTCCAGAATAAAGCCCCAATAAACCTCCAAACAGAGCAGAGAGGCTGAAAGAACCACAGGGGCCCTTGACCCTGACTCTGCCTCCTGAGAGGCCAAGTGCAAACATCCTTAATGCCTGACTGAGACCCGCTGACCAGAGGCACCTGATAGCCATATGGTGTAGAATCGGGGCTGGCACCGCCATGCTCCCTCAGAGATGCCCGGAGGTAAGCCCAAGCGACAGAGCAGAATACAGGATACAGGAAATGAAACCCCATCTCCATGTCCTCCACACCGCACGTGCTCTTGCTCAGCACGGGGGAGCCAACGGGGAAGAGGGTTCAGAGGAAGCAGCGGAGGGACAGGCAGGGCTATTCTCCCGACTCCAGCCTCAGCAGGCAGAGCTTGAGGACATGGAGAGAGAACGGGCTGCAGGCAGAGGGAGTCCAGACCCAACAGTCTACTATGAGAAAGTCTCTCTGGAGACGAGAGGAGCCACCCAAGGGAAGGCCTGGACTTCGGAGGAAAGAAACACAAAGAGAGGAACAGGGAGTTTCCAAGTCCTGCTGACCTCATGCCCAGATGGTCAGCGTCAGTTCCTTTCCTGGAGAGGGTTCTCGTTCCCAGGATGACAAAGCTGGATAGGAATCTCCAAGGGCAATGAGGCCAACCCCATTACCAAGCGCTCCCAAGGCTCTCTGAATGAGGGGCTGCATCACTGACCTACCTCCCGGGCTGATGGCACTTCTCCCCCAAGTCACAGACGTCACAGACGGCAAGTGGGTGTGGAGCGGGGAAGAAGGCGCTGAGCGCACCCCCGCACGGGGCAGTACCAGAGCTCAGTGCCTGGGCGTCCTGGGGCATGAGCTCATCTGACTCTCCGTCACAGTCTGAGGGCAGTGGTCAGGGCCGAGAGCATGGAAACCAAGGTCACACAAAATGTAGGATGGAGTTGGACCAGAAGGTCCCAGCTCTCCCTCCAGGTTGCCACTGCCCTCACCCCCCATTTCTGCTCCTGTGCTGCGATCACACCACAAGCAGAGGTCCCACCCATGTTCCTGCCAAGTCTGGCCTGAATTCCACATCCACCTGGGCCTGGTTCCAGCAGCTGCAGATCAGGTGACCTACAAGCAGTGGACACCAACCTGCCTTCCAAAAACAGAACAACCGCTGGGAAGAGGCCACCAGCTCAGACCCTGTTCCAAAACAAGATCTTGGCTCCGTGGGGGTGGGCGTGGGGGTCCCACAGCACACCCTGAGAGGCCTGGGGATGCCTGCTGGAACCAGGAAGGCCCAGTTTGGGGGCAGAAAAGGTATCAGACAGATGGCAGGGCAGGCAGCAACCATAGAGCGTTAAGTAAGGATGGAGGTGATGCTGTTGAAATTGAAGGAGGCGCCAGCAGAAAGAGGAGAAGAAGGTGGTGAGACAGGATGACAGACGAGCAGCTAAGGAGGTGGGGGGGTGTTGGGAGCGTGGCTCAAGTTGCAGCCTCTCCCCAAGAAGAAGAAGGTTGAAAAAGGCCAGATTCAGAATTATATTTACATTTCAACTTCTGTGCTGAAATGCAGCCCATCTGAGACTGTCCTGCGATTAGCCATGTTCTGGTGCCAGGAGTGGGGGCTCTTGGGTCCCCTAGATGATGTAAATTTGCATGGCCAGGAACATCTGCAAAATACCTAGCATTTCCCGAGCATTGTTTCCCCATCGGATTGTCCCAACAGCCTTGGGAGCAAGGCAGGGCTGATATCTGTTGGACAGATGAGGAAACTCAGGCCTACTTGGGAACTTAATCCGTTGGATCTAATGCTGCTGGGCAGTGGCTGCACCCTGGGGTCAGCTAGACCCTGCAACTCTGGGGAGTGATGTTCTCCATGGCCCAGACGGAAAAGCCCGAGTAGATCTCTGATCCTGGGAGTTGTGAGGTCATGATGGCCAGTGGTCTCCTTTTCAGGCAGAGGCAGGGGCCGCCAGGGACGCCGGCGGGTGGGGAATGCAGTGTGGTGAAGGGACAGGGCCTCCGGGAAGAAGGCACAGGACAGAAAGTCAGAGGTCCGAGCCTCTACTCTGATGCCCACTCTCATGGCCATGGACAAGCTGTCCACTCCCTGCACCTCAGTTCTCTCATGGGCACAGGAAGGAGCCTGGACTAGAGAGAAACTGGGTGATGTTTTAAAGCTGGCCTAAGGATCGACAGAGATCCAAGACTTGGGAGCCAGCAGCAAAGCAAGGAAAGACAGAGGACCCAGCACACTGGAGATAATACAGCCTTGCAGTCAAGAAAAAAAGGATCCGGGGTGAAGCAGGTGAGGCAGACAGGGTGCCACACTGATGGGGGCCCGCCTCACATGCTGCACCTGGGGCCTCACCGGTGCCTGCCTCGCCCTGGTCTCAGCTCTGCCCACCCCCGCGGGCTATATGACACTGGACCAGCCCCTCTCCTTTTCTGAGC